TTTACTTTAATATTGTTATTTATTTTTATACATATTTTATGTGTTAAGAGTTATTATTAGAAAACTTTTAGATTAAACAGTGTCAGTTACACCATTGTGGTCTCTGTTTAGTTTTGAAAAAAAATTGGCAGATAAAAATATTAACATAAGGATTCAAGCCCATAAAATCCACCTCATTTTGAGCATTGTTGATCGATGGGTTGCCTATCTCAGTTGTAACAAGGGTGCCTAAAGTGTAACATATAGTAGCTATGCCATTGGACATTGTTTAATTCAATCATATTATCTATGTAGTTTACTTGCTTTNTATATATATATATAACCACAATCCTTGAGTATTTATAACCACTTCACCACAATCCTTGCTGGTATTTAGAATCAAAGAACAAGACCTTGAGTATAGCATAAGAATATATTTTATGAACATTACCCCCTTGAATTTCATAATCAACACAAAAATGAGTCGCACATCACATCCTAATACAATACATGTTTTTCTTTACAAAAGCGTCGAAATTTTGAGCTTATGAGTTTTGAAATCTTAAGGACAACTTACTAGGTTATAGATAAATTATTTATATTAAGTGAATTTAACACAAATAGAGAATTTTGTCAAAGTTATTGGATTCTGTCGAACGCATAACTAAAACTCTAACACTATAGTTAGAGTTCTGAATTTGCCATGAAACCTATAGCTCCCACTAAATGCATAATTAAAATTTTGTGACTATTTGTGAACGGTTCCATTTTTCATGTAAATTGTTGACTTTGTTGCCCTCCTATCATATGAAAGGACTTTGGATCAGACAAAGTAACTGTGATTGGCCAATTTTACATGAAAAAGTGGTATAGCTTACTTTTTCAAACCATGCATACTATATACTATTATTCATAGAATTTAAGTTATACTAATAGTAATAACATTAAAGATTCTTATACAACTAATGTAATTTAACAAGTAATAACATGTTATTACTTTTTTATTCGAGTTACCATATTCGAGAGTTACATCTAAAAATAGGTCACTTCAAGCTTATAGTATAAAAATTCTTTATACGTAACTGTAAAGAACATAAATTCTTACGAGTTTAAATTATGTGTACTTAAATGATATAGAGATTTTATGCACCATTATAATAGCAGTCAGCCATAAACTTATCATGACAAACCTAATAAGATAACCTCCAAAACGAAGTAATAACCCGCTATAGTGGGCCAAGCTATATTATATACAAAAATTATGGCGCGTTTGGTGTAAAGAAAAAAATATTTTTCTNCGGGGTGGGTGAGGTGGGGGGTGGGGTGAGATCATTGATAGCACTCAAATTACACCAACTGCCACTGATACCCTCTCAAGTCTTTCTCCATAAGTACTCCACATTCCCTCCATACTTTCCTCCTCATCTCATTCTCATTCTCTCTCTCTCTCTAACCATTCTTTTTACACATTTCAACTTCTTTCTTCTTTTTCTTTTTCCACAAAAATGGAGATGTTGAAATTCTCCTGCATTTTTTCTCTAATTATTTTACTATTTTTACTAACAGTTGAAGCTAGAATCCCAGGTGTTTATACTGGTGGATCATGGCAAACTGCTCATGCTACTTTCTATGGTGGTAGTGATGCCTCTGGTACTATGGGTATGTCACCATTTTTAACTTTAGACATAAATTTCGAGTCAAAATCAGATGTTTACATATAATGTGGTTTAATTGCTGCATTATTTTGACAATTATACTGCATTTAATGTTATTTCATTTTTAGTAAGGGAATACTCTGTACTCTTACAGTTACACTGGGTTTTGCTCTGTTTTGTACAGTAGCTGCCTTTTCTCTCTCTGTTTTAGTATAAAAGCATGTTTTGCTCCAAAAGTTGCAATTTGAGTATTTTAACTTTTGTTATAACAGTTGACCTGCCTATTTTTAAGGCCTAACAATGCAAATAAATTTTACACTAATTATTACTGTAGTTACCTGTAATATTAACACTTAAGCAATTACTTGTTACTGTAGATCAACTGTGCACAGAGCTTAAACTCTTTCGAGGTTAATAGTTTCTGTTTTTATGAATGGTTATTATAGTTATCTTTTAAGTAACATGTAAAATACTTTCAGAGCATACCAAGTTAATTATTTTTTTTTTTTGTAGGTGGGGCATGTGGATATGGTAATCTTTATAGCCAAGGGTACGGAGTGAACAATGCAGCATTAAGTACAGCACTATTTAACAATGGGCTAAGTTGTGGAGCTTGTTTTGAGATTAAATGTGATAATCAACCTCAATGGTGTCATGCTGGAAGTCCTTCCATTTTAATTACTGCAACTAATTTCTGTCCTCCAAATTATGCTTTGCCTAATGACAATGGTGGTTGGTGTAATCCTCCTCGGCCTCATTTTGACCTTGCCATGCCCATGTTTCTCAAGATTGCAGAATATCGTGCTGGAATTGTCCCTGTTGTTTATCGTCGGTAAGTATTTTTTTAAGAATTAACCTAAATAGTCATTCATTCAACCGTTTAACTTAAAATTTCAGGGGGTCGTATAATATGTGTAATGTATGTATATAATCATGTGTATTATGTAAGTATACTGACTAAAAAAGTAAATAATAAATACGGTCCACTATTTGTATAAATATTTTTTCTTTTTTTGCTTTAGACATATTCGTGTAGTATAAACATCTAGTGGTAAAGCGCTCCTATATGGTCACTTTCTTTTTATAGCTTTTCTTGGTTTCACTTTATTATTTGTTTCTGTTTCTTTATGTGCCCTTTAGGTTTTCTTTTCTTTTTCTTGTGGGGTCATGTTGAGTTGGTTTCTTTATTGATTTTGTTTGATACTTATTTTGTGTCATAGGGCACTCTTTTCACTTGACACTGGGGTCGAAACTCAAAACTATATTAGGAAAGAAATGTTTTAATGAGTTTTCAAGTAATTTAGGAAAAAAGAACATGGTCAAAATTAATCTCATCTCAATTCTCAGCTGTCTTTGAGTTATAGTCACAAGATTAAGTGACAAATTTTACCATACTCTGTGACTCTGGTCGTTTGGTACACGAATTAAATTATTTCGAGATTATAGTTCATAACTATAATCCCTAGATTAATTTATCTTGTCTGGAAAGTGGGATAAAATAATACCAAGTTTGATAGGATAAGGTGAGATAAGATAGGATATTCAGGAAGTCTGAGACTAAGTTTATACTACTGGTGTTTGGTTGATATAAATTTATCATGAGCTAAATTTGTACTGTCAATCTAACATAGTGTAAATGTAGTACCACACTTTATCCCACGCATATCAAACGACCCCTTAAAGTTAATTTATTTGTCTTAATATAAAGATCAGGTGTGACTAATATTTCTTACCTTGTTGGTTTGAAATAAAAATTTTTAGCTAGTGAGTTGTCATCTACTAAAAATTTCAAACATTTTGCTTATGGAAAATTTGGAAGCTGGTCCTACATGAACATCCTCCTTAAGAATGTCAAATTCCAAAACCCTAGGTGGTGGGGACCACCCCTAGATTTATTCATCAGTGTGAAAAGTCCCAGCCACATTGTTTGTTCATCCTTAATTAACGGTCCATGTCTCACGCTAACATAGGATTTACATTCTACAGCAAAAATGAACATTTATGTGTTCACACCCTGTACAATAAAAGTTTAATTTATATACATTGACGGCGTTAAATAATGTTAATTGATCGTTTTTTTTTGTTTATGCAGGGTGCCATGCAGGAAGCAAGGTGGAATTAGGTTCACAATCAATGGTTTCCGTTACTTCAACTTGGTTTTGGTGACCAATGTCGCGGGTGCAGGTGACATTGTGAAGCTTATGGTTAAGGGTTCGAGGTCTGGTTGGATAACAATGAGCCGTAACTGGGGTCAGAACTGGCAAACCAACTCCGTTTTGGTTGGTCAGGCACTGTCATTCAGGGTTACAGCTAGTGACAGGCGCAAATCCACCTCGTGGAACATTGCGCCAGCCCATTGGCAATTTGGTCAAACTTTTGTTGGAAAGAACTTTAGAGTCTAAATAGAGTATTGAAGTGATTAGTAACACAATATATAAGACTCGTAGATCATGCATTTCGAGTTTTAGTGTTTTTTATTTCGGTTTTTTTCTATTGGCATTTTGGCCTTTTTTTTTTTTTTTGTTTGTGTAGAAGAGCTGAAGCGGCTGCAGAAACATGTAGCCCGCAGCTGTTCAATGAACAATGTAATACTATCAATCTAATGTTTTGTAGTTGATGCATGGGCACTGGGTAGTGTATTTTACTGTACTTTCAGTGATTTATAGTGATTTACTTTAATTGAAACATCTGAGTTATTTATGTTTCTGATTTAATGGCTCTTTGACAAGAGTGAGTTTCTCTAGTTGTGAGCACCCTCCACTTCCAACTAAGAGGTTGTGAGTTCGAGTTACCCCAAGAGCAAGGTGGAGAGTTCTTAGAGGGAGGGAAACGAAGGTCTATCGAAAATAGCCTCTCTACCCCATAGCAGAGGTACAGTCTGCGCACACATTATCTTTTTAAGATCCAACTTGGTTGTTGTTGCCATTATATTTAATGGCTCTTTGAAGTATGAAGGTAGAAACTTTGATATTACTTAAGTGCAGATTTGACCCATTGTTATTTCTATGCAAGTATCCTGAGATCAAACCTTGGATTCTCTAAAGCAGAGCTTTGGATGCCATTTCTAGTGTTTCCTTGAACTTTGTCAAGTCAAGCAAGCACACTTCGATATATTCTTGGGCCTACATTTAATTTTATTTATTTAAATTATGCATCCGAAATCACCGGTTCAACTAAGTCTGAATCGAACCAGGTAGAGCCCACTAAAAGGAAATTTCTCCATTGCAAGAGCTTGAACCCGAGGATATCATTTATCTCACCAGTGATACAATTAATGTTTCAATTTCATATATTATGACATATTCTGTCATAAAGCTAAAAGATTAGCAGTTCTCACCTTCACACCCATAAAAGTATGCTTCTAGATGCCATTCAAAGCTTGAAATATAAAGGTAGATTACTTTGATACTACTACTCAAAGCGCACATTTGCTTTTGCTATTCCTTACTCAACCTTGGATTCTCTAATAGTTCAATTTCAATTGTCATGACATATAGGAGTACCACAATAGAGAAGGTAAAACATTAGCAGTCTGACCTGCATAACCAAAACATATGCTTCTGTCTCAGTATATTGGTTTTCAAACAGATTCTAAGTACTAGATAAGGCATCATATGCCATTGACAGTGTTGAACATAACCATGAAAGTTTAACGCTTCTTTGCTTTACTGGCCTTCAACTTCTGGACAACATATGATATTCCTTCTTTGATGGTAGCTTTCCGTTCTAGTTTGTAATTCCACAACTCTGTTGTTATGCCTCTACTACTTGAACTTTCATTCATCTCCAACAAAGCAGTAGTAACCAATTCATAAGCTGCTTTTCCATACTCGTGCTTCAACCTATTCAACCTTTCATCTTTATCATCAATTTCCTAACAGTACAGCAGAAATCATAAGGTTATGTTTGGCAACCACAATGTATTTTTTTTATTTTTTTTGATAAGTAAGAAACTTCAATGTATTACCTTAGGACCATTTTCAGTTGTTACAACTTTAAAGGGATGCCAATTGGGATCCCTAAGATGAGCCTCCCAGATTGAGCACAACTCGGCAGCTTTGAAATCTGCATCTTCAACAAACATTCTCTTGGTTATCTCCTTAAATCTTTTAACATTAAGTTCTCCCATTCTCTTGACACCGATTAAAGCCCGAGAAGAATGCTGCTTCATTCCCTAAATGCCATGGAAACATGTTTCATTTGTCAAATTTTCAGATAGAACCTCAGCAGAACGAATTCAAATAGTTTACGAGGTTCTTTTATGGAGTGTTGTGACCACATAAATCTTCAAAGATTTGAGGCCTATTTGCTAAGTTCTTACACGTCGAAGTTATGCATAAATATATAGACTTGAATGTTAAACAGTATAGAATAATGTAGAAACTGATCTCATGGTGCAGAAAATAAAAGACTGCAGAGATATTCACAAAATAGCTTAGGCTGTTGCAGAATTGCACTTACATCGATCAACTCCTTCCTGGCATCTTGTAACTCAACATTGGCTCGGCGTTCTTTGACAACTAAAGCTTGATTCAAAGCTTCAAGATCTTCTAATTCTTCTTCTTTCTCTTTTAGGCTCTCTTGGATCTCGTCTAATTTTTTCTTCACATCTTGGCCGTCTCCCATGTGTCTCATTACTTGCGTAGCCCCTCTGAGACGTTCTATCTCCAACTCTAGCGCCTGCTTTGAGTCGAGTTTTGTTTGCAACTCCAGGATCTTCTCGCGGAGAGTTTCTTTCTCCTTCTGCAAAGTAAAATTCTCTTGGCTGTCAGAGGCTAATTATTACATAAGTTGAGAGTAAAAACACATAATAATGGACATACAAACCTTCTGTTCTTCTGCCAACTTTAAGACACTTTCATCCATCCTCTTTTGCTCCATTTCTGCTCTCTCATTCTAAAACACATAAAAAAAGAATTTTACAGTTAATGAATTCCTAGAAAAAGAGCACGCCAAGCGAATATCTGATATATTCCTTAATATCAGCAGAGCTTAACTGAGAACAAAGTTAAACTACTAGATTCTTGTTACTTCATTTTGGATTAGGATATTTTCAAGGAGGAAGAATTCAGATGCATGTAACGTATATATAAGGAAAACGAGAAACGAGAGTGATGAAAGTTGTTTGAATTGACAGTAAAATCCAGATGAAGTTTCTCAGGTCTATCCACAATCTTAGTTCTACAAATACAACAGTCTATTTCTACAATATCATAATTTTCTACCTCATAGGTAGTAGTCTAATTCCTTCATATGCTTATATCTCCATATAATTTTTTTGCTAACCAGTTAAAGTCAATCAATTAAACAGCAAATAAGACTTTCTACCATTTGCTTCAAAGAATTAAGCTCTTGTCTTTGATTATCATTGAGGGCCTCCCTTTCCACCAATTCTTTTTCGCGCAACTCAAGTTCTTTGCGTTGTGCTTCCAAATACAATTTATTCTTCTCTCTCTCCTTGATCATCTTTGCTAGTTGATCACGAGCATTCTTCGCCATCCCTTGTAACTCTGTAGTTAATAGTAAGTACTTGTTGTACGTCAAAAGTGTGAACAAAAAGGCAATGTTAAACTAGCTAATACTATCTGTTAGGAGTAAATATGTACCTTCATTATATTCTTGGATCATTTCATCTCTTTGCATCATCACTTTGTTTAGGCACATTGATGTTTCATTGCATCTGCTCTCTATCTCCTTGAGTCGCCTACTTTTGGCCTTGATTGTGTCAGCCAGATTAGAGACAAGCGCATCATTTTTGCGCTTCTCTTCTGCCTGAACATCGGAGATAGATTTCAGGTCTCCATTTTTCCGCACATAGTCACCAATTACACCTGCTGACCTGAAATCATCAGCCTTTGCAACCCAACCATATAACTTATTTCCCCTATTTGCTGAACCTAAATAGTCCAACCTCCCTCTATGTTGTGATTCAAAAATCTTCTCCAACTTAATTGCATAAGCAAAGCCATCCCAATTATTACTAAATTCAATTACAGCAAACCCTGAATGACCCCTATGGTTCCACAATGGATGTACCCTCACCGGATTAAACCCTTTGTTCGTCAAATCATCCCTGAGCCCCGAGCCACTTTTTCCCACGTAACGCTTACCATCCCACTCAATGGGAACATTTGCTACAATTCCCATCCATGGAAATACATATTTCTCATCAACATCATTCCCTTGATACAGAGCCATACAAGTGAAAATCTAGAGCACAAAAAATAGAGTAAATACTAATAAGAAAAGAGAAACAGAGAATTGTTGGAGAAAAACAACAGTGTTAACATACATATGGACGAAAATAAACAAATATAAAAATTTGAACATGAAACCATGTTTAACAGATTACAGATGCAGAGATATAATCATAATAGCAAAATGGAGAAATACAAACTTACTTTTCTCTTGAAAAAAAAGAGAGTAACTATAGCGAGTGTTTTTGAGTAAAAGAACTGTGTTAAATTTTGAAAAACAAGCCTAGATTATGAAACTAAACACACATAAATAGCAACAACAACAAAACCCAAATGTGACCCACGTACAGATTAGACGAAAAAAAGAGTAAATAGAAGAAAAGAGGAACAAAGCATTTTTTGCAACCAAAAAAAAAAAAAAATTGTGTTTACATAAGCGTTACACCCATAGATGAAGGAAAAAAAAATTCTTAATAAGACCCATGTATGTACAGATCAAAAGATGCATAGACATAAACACAAAGCAAAAATGGAGAAATACAATTTAATTTTCTCTTGAAATAACAGAGAGTAACTAAATAAAAAATGAAAATTTAGACCTTAAAAACAACTTTTTTTATTTTTTTATTTTTGCCTTAGAAAAACAGAGTAAATATAAGAAAAGAGGAACAGAGCATTGTTGGTAAAAATCAGTAGAAATGCGTAAAATAAGCAAAAAATTGAAGGAAAAAAAAAAAGAGAAATACGTAAGCGTTGCATGTGAAGCAAATGATGAATATAACTTACCAATATTTCTAACAACTGCGAAAAACCAAAGAAAATTAGTCTCCAAATAAGAGAAGAAAAACACAGCTAAAGAGAAGTATGAAATAAATGGAAAGGGAATTTGGAGAAAATGATGGAGAGAGTGATACCTTGCTGAAGAAGGTACAGCTCGCACAGTCTGAGCAGGATAGTGGAAAAGGAATGCAAAAAAGACTGTTACATTGGTATAATTGTATTTGCTCCTCTTCAGTATATATTTTTGCTCAGATTTTTCTGGTTGCTTGTTTTGGCCTTTTCTGGATATTGGATAGTACTATACTTAAAGAGTTGAGGATTTGTAGGTATATCAGCTGCTACTTTATTTGATTTTTTCTTTTTTCTTTTTTTTAAATGTTTCTCAAGGTGGTGGTGGATGATACACAATTTAAACTTAATGAGTTGAAATTTTAAAAAAATTTAAAATTTAACTTATTATACTTTTAATATTATGATTTCAGATAAAATATTTATTAAAGTCGTAGTTAGTATTTTACATATTCATCTATATGCCGTGCGGTGTTAAAAATATTAAATTCGAAGGAATCCTTTTTCTTACAACTGCATCTGTTGCTATGGTTGGGTTTGGGTTGGGGGCCTTAGATACAATTTGACAAGTGCAGAATTTTATGCAAATAATATCGATCAATTATTTCTATTACAATTGGATATTATTTTGAGAGTATCATTTTCAAGTTGTTAGGCTATTTTACATATACATGTCCCAATTTATGTAACACTTTTTGCTTACTGAGATTCAAACTTTTTAATTTTGACATAAAATAATTAAGTTTTTTTTTAAAAATAAAACCTATATATTTGAAAACTACTTAAAAAGTACTATAAGTCACAATAACTAATAATTTTAAAATATTTAAATGACATACAAAAGAATCTGTAACGACCCGACTTGTCGTTTTGAGAATTAGCGCCCCGTTCGGCGGCTTAAGGTTTCGAGCAACTTCGTAATGTGTATTATGACTCGTGTAAATTGTCGGCTTTGGTTTTCGGATGATTCGGGATTAAATTGAAAGAACAATCCTTGTTTAGAAGCTTAAAGGTAAAGGGTTGACCGGAGTTTGACTTTTGTGCAAACGACTCCGAAATAAAGTTTTGATGGTTCCAATAGCTCCGTATGGTGATTTCGGACTTAGGAGTGTATCTTGATATTTATTTTGAATTTGGATTGAAATGGCGAAAGTAAGAAATTGAAGGTTTGAAAGTTTGATCGGAAGTTGACTTTTATGGTATCGAGTCCGGATTGTGATTCCGGAAATTTCAGTAGCTTCGTTATATCATTTATGACTTGTACGCAAAATTTGAGTTCATTCCGGATTGATTTGATATGTTTCGACGCGAGATTTAAAAGTTGAAAGATTTAAAGTTCATTAAGTTTGAATTGAGGTGCGATTCGTCGTTTCGATGTTGTTATATGTGATTTGAAGTCTCGAGTAGGTCCGTAATATGTTTTGAGACTTGTTGGTATGTTCGAACGGGGTTCCGAGGGGCTCGGGGTGAGTTTCGGGGTTGTTCTAGTTGCTGGTTTTTGGCTACATGGGTGTGCAGTGCGATTGCGTGGACCTGGCCGTGATAGCGGAGAGAAAAATAGGAAAAATGGACCTGGGCATCGCGATCACGGAAGCCTTCACGCGATCGCATAGAATAAAATCTCTGTTGCACTGACTCGACTTTGAAAACTTATATCTGGCAATCTATAAGGAATTTGGAGATGATCCAAAAATGAATGTTGTAGCCCTTGGTATCTAGGTTTTAGAAAGTTAAACCATTTGTCATTTAGAGTTTTATTAAAAGTTATGACTAATACACTACATACTGTCTGAGAAGAATTTGGGAAGAGTAATAGAAGTTTGTGCTTCGCGATCACGGGAAAATGGCCGCAATCACATAGAGCAAAAATGTTGTGGAAATTTTTGTGCTTCGCGATCGCGAAGAAGTTTCCGCGATCGCATAGGGTAAATGACTGGGCAACAAAACTTAACTTCTGAAAATAAGACTTCATTTTTCATTTTTGACGATTTGGAGCTCGGGGAGAGGCGATTTTCGGGAGATTTTCAAGGAAAATATCGGGGTAAGAGTTCTTAACTCAATTTTGGTCAAATTACCCGAATCTATTATTATTTTTAGCATTTAATTGGTGTTTTAAGTTGGAAAAATTGTGAAAACCCTTAAGGTTAAATTGAGGATTTGATGGTCGAGTTGATGTCGGAATTTGACAAATTTGGTATGGTTGGACTCGTGGATGAATGAGCGTTAATATTTTATAACTTTTATTAGATTTCAAGACATGGGCTCCGGTGTCAATTTTTGGGTGGATTTTCGGGTTTAATTGGGAAATTTAGTATTTTCATATGGAATTAATTCTTATAATTTGTGTTGACCGTATCGAATTAATTGTGACTAGATTCGCGAGGCAAGGGTATATTGGAATAGAGACATTCACGGTTTGAGGTAAGTAACTCTTCTAAACTTGGAGCTGAGGGTATGAACCCTGATAATACATGTTATATGAATTGTTTGGAGGTGACGCACATGCTGACAAGCTTATACCAAGGTCAGAGTCCACACCAATAATCAATAACATCTCATAATAATACAATTTAAAGCAGCAAAAGTAATAACTCAATAATAACATACTCAACTCGCCAGCTATGGAAAATAAATATTTTTTTCAAGTATAACAGTAAAACTCAAATCTTTTGTCGAAAGTCACTGAAATATGAGTAAGTCTGAGATCTGTGATTTTTCTCAAAAACTTTAACGAGAGATAAGAAATTTCATTATCAGATGGCATGAGGAAAAATACTTCTCTATGCCTACATATCAAGTATGCATGTCTAATGCAATGGCATCACAGTGATGAACACATGTACTCACACTCTCAGAGTACTCAATTACTCAGTACTATATATGGTCAATCCAGCCCAGGGAAGATCCATCCCATATATATATATATATATATATACACACATAATAACTGACATTCAGTCACTCACTACTGTATAGGGCCAATCCAGCCCAGGGAACTCTATCCCAAACATAATAAATGATTCGGACAAGATCCATGCCTAGAGAAATTATAAATAAATAAGGCAACTCCATGCCCTAGGAAGTCCATCCCAAATATAATATCATATGCGCTCACTGTGGGGGGTGTAGACTCCGGAGGGGCTCCATCAGCCCAAGCGCTATAATAAGCCAATCTGGCCTACTGGGGCGTGCAGTCCGATCCCATAATAATAAAGCATATATGGCATGCTGCAGCGTGCAACCCCGATCCATATAATAATAAATATAAAGCCAATATGACCCGCTGCAACGTGCAGCTCGATCCCATAAATATCCTCATAAATGGATGAACATGACTGAGTATGAAATTTATATTTTAAAATAATTAATTCAACAGCAACACCACCCTGTGGGTCTCAAAATATCGGCACGTAGCATAAACATGATCTTTAATACGAGCCTCAGCTCGATTTCTCTAACACGTAGGGAACATGTGAATAATGACATGATTCTCTTATTATGCAACTCTACGGAATTGATTTAAGTCACAATTTATATGGTGCAAGCCCACACGCTCGTCACCTTACTTTCAACCTAAGGTTAGGTTTGTTTCTTATTGAGTACATGGGGTCGGTTGTACTCATACTACACTTCTATACCTTACGTGCAGATTTCTGATGCTGATGTTACTGCGTACGGTGAAAGCTGGATTTGAATATGTTCCTGCGATCCAGTCACAATGACCTCTTATTCTAGGTAGCTTTAGAATTTTTAAATCTGTTCATGTATATTTCAAACAGATGACATATTTTATTTCACACCAGTTTTTGTAAATTCTAATCTTAGAAGCTCATGATTTGTACTACGAGTCCTTGGGGAGTGTATTAGAGTTAGTTAACTATTAATTAAATCAGATTGTTGTTATTTGGCTTACCTAGCAGGTGAGGTTATGTGCCATCACGCTTAGTTGGATTTTGGGTCGTGACAAGTTGGTATCAGAGCCCTAGGCTCATAGGTTCTACAAGTCATGAGCAAGTGTCTAGTAGAGTCTTGCGGATCGGTATGATGACATCCATACTTATCTTCGAGAGGCTACAGGGTATTTAGGATAATTCCCCATCTTTTTTTCCTTATCGTGCGGAATTAATTCAGCTTGAAATATAACTCTTTGAATTCCTTCCACACTTTCATGTGCACATGTGAACACTCGGTATCAGCTGTGCATCGCCGGCTTGTGATTCCATGAATGAGGTTCGAGATGAGTATTTTGTGTTTTGGTGATCGGCTAGTCTGGAGGACTTGAGGCCAGGGTTAGACCACAGCTTAGGCTCGATAGCTTCAGCTGTGTGAAATTGTACATTTGGACTCATATGTCCAGTAGTGTCCCTATGAGTGGAATTTGTGGCTCAATGAGCAGTTGAATAGCTATATGATGAGCATAATGTGACTGCAGAATGTGTTCAGATGGTTTGATGGTGACAAGGATAGTTTGATTGAGATATAAAAAGGACTATTGGGTGCTAGATTACTGTCTTGATGTGACTTATAGTCTCGAGTTATGAGTGTGTTGAAAGATTTTACATGTTGATTAATTGTGGAACGAAGTAGATTTTCATGTCTCGTTGTGAGTTCAGACTCAGGAAGATTAAGTGATGGCATAGTAATCGTGGCTGCAAAAAGGGTATAGCAAAATGCCAATTTGAGGCTAAGCATGTGGGTTATCTCCTGCGGAGTAATTTACGAATGTGTGATCCTTATAATATTGAGTGGAGAGCTTCTTTTCTACCAGCAGGGTGTATGTGTTGAGATCTGAATTTGAATCTGGTTGGGAAAGTTGACTTGACTGTCAAGAGAATAAATGTGAGTTTAACGGATGATTGAGGTATTTTATGGTTGGTGTTGCATGAGCTTGAGAAGAATTTTCGTTGAACTGACTGTGGTATTATGGCAGTAATAGAGTGTGGGTATTGTGAATTATCGAGTATTTTGTTCTATGGCTTTGAGCCAAGTGGGGGAG